CCGCGCGGGGCTCGCCATCCTGCGCACCGTCGGGCCGGGCGGCGTCGCCGCCGCCGCCGCCCCCGCCGGGGCGCTGCCGCCGCCGCCCGACGCGGTGCTGGGCGCGTCCGCCTCGCTGCCGTCCCTCCGACCCGCGCTGCCCGCGCTGCTCGCGTCCGCTCAGGCGGCCGCGTCGTCCGCGGACGCCACGCTGCGCCAGCCCGCCGCGCACGCCCTCGGCCGCGTCATCGCCGCGTTCGCTGAGCCAGAGCCCGAGGACGCGGCGGAGGCGGAGGCGGAGGGCGCCGACGCGGCGGCCGCGCTCGCACTTGCCGCCGCGGCCGGCGTGCCGAGCTCAGCTCTCGAGGCGCTCGCCGCCCTCCTCGCCGACGCCTCCTCGGACGTGCGCCTCTCCGCGATGCACGCCGCAAAGCGACTCGCGCGGTTGCGGCCGGCGGCGCTCGCCGCGGCTGGCTGTGCCGGCGGCGCCCTCCTCCTCCCGCCGGTGGCCGCGGCGATCGCCGTCAAGGGCAACACCTTCTTGCGGAGCGGCGCAGAGCGAGCCTTGGCGCAGGTGCTTGCCACGTGCGCTTGGACGGAGCCCGCCAATCTGCCGCCGGCTGGCAGCGGCCCCGGCCGCTTGCCTCCCGAGGCGCGCTCCGCGGCCGACGACTTCCTGCGGCGCTCGTACCGGCGGATCCGCGCGATGGAGTCCGAGGCGGAGCGCTCGGATGAGGACCCCTGAAGGGTGTCGTCTCTCCGCCGGCGCTGCCCAGCGCGCCCTCTCCGCCGGCGCTGCCCAGCGCGCGGCATGCTCCCCGCGCATGCCACATACGGCTCGCCGAGTGGAAAAGGGAGCCTGCGGCAGCCACTTTGGTCCCCTACCCCTTTCACACACCACACAGTGTGTGGCGCGCCGCGTTCTTCGATGTTTTCGCTCCGGAAAAAAAGCGCGTGCTTTCGCGGTGCCCGTGCGGGTGGTCTTTTGTTCTCTACCACTTCCTACTGTTTAAAACGAAAAGCATGCGCGGTTGTGTGTGTATGGCGGCCTCCTCGCTCTGGGGGGAGGCGGGGGCCCCCGGAGGCACCGTGCGGCGTGCGCCGCGCCGCAGTGCGGAAACCGCGGGGCCCCGGCGCTCAGAGTCGCTCATACCACCAACTTCCCGAATGATTACGGTTGATTAGAGGGCAGATTTGGAGAGATCTCGAGGAGTACATACAGATAGACCCTCCAATCATGAGAAACCTCCAACCTGATCGGTCGTACTGACCGCCGACAGATCACTCCAGACAGCAGACAGGCCGACGTCTGCACGTGGCCGGCCGGGCGAGAGGCTTGACACGATCCGACCCTGCGACCCTGACGCTGCTGCTCTAGCTATCAGACAACTGCTGACTGCTGCCACAATGTGTGACCGGTGCTGGCCCACTTGGCGGCCTTCCCGGTCGGTGGTGAGGCGCAGTTCAGAGCTGTCGATGGCGCGATGCCGCACTGGTCCCACATTGGTGACACGAGACCACCACGTTTGCCGGTCCAAGAGAGAGGCACCGGCGCTGTCCTGAGAAAGTGCATGGTCCCTCTTGACTGCCCATGCGCGCGAGGCTGTGTAGGCATAGCCTCGAGAGTGCCAGCAGCCAGTCGCCGAGGCAGTTTGTGACGCGCATTGCGTCAGAAGCGTGCACACGATGGAAGGACACCTTCCTACTGGCCGTACAATCAGGTCGTCACTGAATGCTTGATACTAAGGCCGCGAGCTTGCAGGTGGGCAATTGTGCAGCATTGCACGGTCAGCAGCGCCGACAGGCTGTCGCAAGGCGTGATAGCATGGCCGCAAGTATACAGCGAATTCCCATGAAACAAGTAAAAATCGCGGAAAAAAGAAAAAAGTCCTAAAAAATCGGCGCCTGCGGCGGGCCGTGGGACCCCATCTCCCCCCCGCATGGATACCCTCCAGGGCCCCCGCCTCTGAGCGGGCGGCGGGCGTAACGGGGACGAGACGCGGTTCGCCTGCCCTGGTCGCGCGAGCGGCGGTGAGCGTACGGCGCAAACGAGATCGTATCGTGCGGTTGCGCCACGGATCCACGGCTACTAAACTAGGCAGTGTGACGGCCCGAGATCGAATCTTACGGGTGCGCGAGACGGCCATCGGAATCGAGAAGAGTGAGGAGGAGGAGGAGGAGGAGGAGGAGGAGGAGGAGGAGGAGGAGGAGGAGGAGGAGGAGGAGGAGGAGGAGGAGGAGGAGGAGGAGGAGGAGGAGGAGGAGGAGCTACTTGCCCGCGGCGTCGGCCAAGGCTTCCTCTCGCAGTCGCGACAGCTCCTGCGTGAGGCCCTCCAGCTCCTCTGGGCTGGGGATCGCATC